TGAATCATGGAACACTTCATCTAAAATTAATGATGTAATGTATGGGGATTAACATGAGAATAAAAAAAAAAGAAATCAAGTCCTATATATTGCTGACATGTCTCTTACTCCTTTTTCTTCCTTTTCACACATACTGCACTTTCTTTCCACTTGGGGTTCCTTTGATATCCAGTGCCATCCTTCCCAAGTCCTCTATGCCCTTGAAACCTAGCCAGAAACAGACTCTAAAATATGAATGCCTCAGGGCACCTGGGTCTCTCAGTCAGTTAAATGTCCGACTCCTGGTTTGGGCTCAAGTCATGATCTCAGGTCATAAGATCAAGCCCTGAACCCTCCACAGGCTCCACCTCAGCGCAGAGTCTGCTTCAGATTCTCTGTTCCCCTCCCCTTCTGACCCTCCCCCACCCTCTAAAATAAGTTAAATAAATAAATAAAATATGAATGCCTCTTCCTTGACTTTTCTATCTTTACCCAAGGTGCTCAACAGAGATGGTTCCTGATGATTCAAACCTTACCCAACCCCAGAGTATCCCAGTCTTTTCTACTAGGCCTCCCTCATTTCCCAATCCCTAATGCACTGCTCCATCAGTCATTTTGATATCTGTTCATAAGCTGACCTTTATTCTTTGGAAACCTGCTATCTTCAAAAGTAGAAAGAACCTGACATCATGTAGGTCCTCTTTTTACATCTGAGAAAACCAAGGCCCTGAGAGAAGTGACTTGCCTCATGTTACCTGAGAAACTGATGGTGATAAATTCTGAACTCAGTTCTCCTCACTCCTATTCAAAGCCTGTAACAACCACCTCTACACATATCCAGTCTTTCCAGACATCCCCCCAACTGACAGTGCAAACAAAAGGCAGATATCAAAGCCATATGAAACTTTAGCATGGCTAGCAGCATCCATCCATTATGAAGCACAAAAAGGGGTTCAGTAAATATTCCCCAAATGAACTAAAAGTTGAACCCACAGGGAAAGCATCAAAATGAGAGATGGTTAATTAAATTATCCCTCTCTAAGATTATGCTAAGTGAAATAAGTCAAGCAGAGAAAGTCAATTATCATATGGTTTCACTTATTTGTGGAACATAAGGAATAGCATGGAGGACACTAGGAGAAGGAAGGGAAAAATGGGCGGGGGAATTGGAGGGAGAGATGAACCATGAGAGACTATGGACTCTAAGAAACAAACAGGGTTTTAGAGGGGAGGGGGGAGGGGGGATTGGTTAGCCCAGTGATGGGTATTAAGGAGGGCAGGTACTGCATGGAGCACTGGGTGCTATACAAAAACAATGGATCGTGGATCACCACATCAAAAACCAATGATGTATTGTATGGTGACTAACATAACACAATAAAATTTAAAAAAAAAAATTATCCCTCTCTATAAAACTGTTGTAGTTCCCCAGTGCCCGTGGAAGAACTCCACACTCAGAGAACATCAAGGTCCTTCCCGGTTGAGACCCAACGTTAGCAGCCGCCACATTCCTAGCGTTCCCTTCTCTGCACCCATTCCTCCAGCCATTACCCTAATATGTACGCGGTGCTGCCCAAACCCAGTCGTTCCTTTCATGCTTCTGCACCCTTGCACACATTGGGCCCACAACCTGCAGTGCTCTCCACCCCCACACCCCCCAGTGCCTGTCCTCTCGCAAATCCTGAGATGGCTTTCAGGGCCCTGCTCAAACGTCAGGCAAAGTCCTACGAGGGTCTGGATCGCTCTCCAAAACTGAGCCTGTCCCAGGATGCAGATTTTACTTGCTGACACGCTCAGGAGCGTGGGAAGGGCTGCCCCAGTGGTGAACTGACTCAGAGTGCCCCCGCCCCGCCCGGAGCGCGCTCAGCCTGTGGCCCCCTCGGCCGCTGGGGGGCTGGGGGAGGTGGGTGCTCAGAATGCTGGGGGACGCCCGGTGAGGGCACCAGAGCCACCGACGATACCTGTCTGAAGGCACCCTCCCATCCCCCGCGACCAAGAGGCGTCATCTACACCTTACCTCACCCAACAGCGGCGGCAACTCCGCTTTACGGCATTCACAGCAACTGCTGCAAAAGGTGCCGTCAAGTACAGAGCCGTGGCTATTGCGGTAGCTGTCGGAGACGATCGCGTTGAACTGACTCCGACCTCTGCATGTTTAGGGCTCCTTCCACATTTTCACCGTCCAAAGTTTACTGATCCCTGAGGATTTCCTAGCATTCCAAAGCCCTTTCCATCGCCTGCCTACGTAACAACTGCAGTGAGGCGACATGAGATTTTAGGAGGTGGGGCAAGAATTGGAGAGGCACCAGCTGAGCTGTTTCTTAGAGTGAATTTGCCAGATAAAATATAGGATGCCAGTTAAAAATGTGAATTTCAGATAAACAACGAATAGTTTTTTAGTCCGTGTGCTACGCAGATTCAGAATAACTCCTTGAATTCTGTTTAGGGTACCATCAGATGAGATGGGGCTGGGGATGTAGTGCGAAATAGCTGCGTTTAGTTCATGAGGTTGAGGTGCATGACATCCAAGCTCCAGAGGACTGTTACACTCCGGTTTACGTCTGGAAATAGACACGCATACAGTTCCGGCCCTGGCTTTTTTAATTCACAGTGTAATCCAAAGGATTGTTAAGGATCAGATATGTATCAATTTTGACGTGAATTTTGGAAACTATAAAGCACTAAATACTGTAATTTTAAGTTGTTTCTACAAAAATTACTATTATTAGTCCATAGTAAAAACTAAAAACTCTAAACTTCGTTCCTTTGGAACAGTATATAATGAAAAGTTTTAATTTCTCATTTCCTGTTACGTTTATTTTTTCCTTCTAGAAATTTTCTGTGTACGTAAAGCTTATTTTGTAGACGTCCCCTTAGAACTAGTTCTATAGACTTAGAATTAGTAGTTGGTAGATTAATCAAAAAAGATAACACCCAAAGGAAGGAAGTTATCAAAGATTAAAGGGATTACTGGACACAAGTGCTAACTTGACACACCTAAGATGGGAAAATTTGAGCATCAAAATAACTTCCTGATTGAAACACTACAAATACATAAAAATTCTTGACTTCATAATAATTCCTTAAAAATGAAATACACTAGTCATGATTAAGGTTAGGGCATCAGGTCACTATTGTAAAACTTGATGAGGGGAAAGACATCAAGCATTTATCCTCTTTTTTTTTCTTTAAAGATTTTATTTATTCATTTGACACAGAGAGACACAGCGAGAACAGGAACACAAGCAGGGGTGAGTGGGAGAGGGAGAAGCAGGCTTCCCGCTGAGCAGGGAGCCTGATGCGGGGCTCGATCCCAGGACCCTGGGACGATGACCTGAGCTGAAGGCAGACGCTTAACGACTGAGCCACCCAGGCGCCCCGCATTTATCATTTCTTGCATGAACTGCATTTCATTGTAGCCAACATGCTAATGAGAATTCTAGCTAATAAATGAATTATATAGAACAATCACCATTTTGCTACTCCTAATGAAATAATACAAAGTACAACATTTAATAGATGATAAAATTAAGGTGAAATGTTGATGGGAAACTTTTAAAAAATTTTTGTAATTTTTTTATGGGGAACTTATTATAGGTGGATTAGACTGGCACCACCTGAACCACCTCACTGATCGATCTTATGATTGAGTCTGGGACAACCAGACATTGTGTATTTCATGAGGTGATGCAACAGAAAGTACACACCACCCAACCTGTGAAGGATTCTTGCCTAAAAATTGAACCCAATATAGAGAAGCAATCAGCTAAATTCAGAATGTGCGATATTCTATAAGATAAATGCTCCAGTCTCTTTATCAATGGACTTTAAAGAGGAGGGAGGGAGGAAAGTACTACAAAATCAGAGACTTAAAGAGACCTATAACCAAAGGCAGTGTGTAGACCTTGTCTGGATCCTGATTTGAAGAAAGCAACCATAAAAAAGACATTTTGAGGGGTGCCGGGTGGCTTAGTTGGTTGAGTGTCTGACTCTTGATTTAGGCTCAGGTCATGATCTCAGGGTCGTGGGATTGAGCCCCCCATCAGGCTCCATGCCCAGTGTGGAGTCTGCTTGAGATTCTCTCTCTCCCTCTGCCCCTCCCCCACGAGTTCACTCTCACACACGCTCGCTCGCTCTCTCTCAAAAAAAAAAAATTTTTTTTTTTGAT